AGTTAGTCTCGGTCTACCTCGACACCTTTTAATATTTACTTTCGCGCTATATATTTTCTTCACCATTCGGTCTTCACTCATTCGCTCAACGTGCCCGAACTACCGAAGCACGCCCTTATCAATTTTTGTGATAAGGTCATCTTTCAAACCTGCCATATTGCGAATCTCTTCGTTTCGCTTTCGGTCGGCCATGGTAACGCCGCACATTTTACGAAAAGATCGCATTTCCACTGCATTCAACTTGCTTTTATGCTTCTTCTGGCATACCCAGGTTTCGCTGCAATATAACAAAGTCGGTACCAACACTGCGTTATGTATTGCAAGGCGTGCACTCTTCACTACGCCTTGCCTTTTGACTAACGCAGTCAGGGCACCATTGACTTTGTTCCCGGCAGCGACACGCCTGTCCACATCTAAATCTCATCTTCCATCCCGGCTAAAAGCACTCCCCAAGTATACAATTTCATTTACCTGTTCTAGACATTCCTGATTTACCCATATTTCACACTTCGTTCTCTCTTCGTCCCTTTCAAATACCAGAACATTAGTTTTATTAGCATTCGAACGGAGACCTTTAATTTCACATTCCTCTTTCATACACGTGACTAATGCCTGTAGTTCTGCCTCTGATGGTGCAATAAGCACTGCATCATCAGCATACAGCAGACAATTTACTTTTATGTCACCCAATTTCACACCCAAACAGCTATCTTTCAGCTTCTGTAAACAGCAGTCGAGATACAGTATGAACAGCCAGGAAGACATGACACAACCCTGTTTTACGCCCGTTTGGACGCTAAACATTGGTGACAGGTCATGCCCTACCCGCACACAGGCTTTACAGTCACAGTAAAGAGACTGCACAGCCCTTAGCAATCGACCATCCACACCATACCCCGGCAACAGTTCCCACATTTTCTTCCTTACAACCTTAGCAAATGCTTTCTCAAGATCCACAAAAGCACAGAAAATCTTCTGGTTAGCAGCCAGAAGCTTTTCCGTAATCATGCGGAGAGAAAACATTTGATCCGTACATCCTCTTCCAGGTCTAAATCCGCATTGTGCCTCCCATAGAAATCTTTCCGATTTCTCTTGCATCCTACGTGTCAAAACCTTCGAGTAAACTTTACTTGCTAAACTGGTCAAGCTGATCGCCCGATAGCACCCGCAGTCAAAATGTGAACCTTTACCTTTATATAAAGGCACAATGACTGCGGATCGCCAATCATCCGGGACATCCCCCGTCCGCCAGCACAAATTGCACAGCAGATGAAAGCTGTCCCAGACGCGAGGCCCACCATACTTGACCATTTCAGCAGTAACTCTGTCTAGTCCCGCAGCCTTACCACATTTCAAACTTCTAATCGAAATAAGTACAATGGTTTAACGCCAACAATTTGCTTTTAAATGACATTAAAACAAAAATTATAAATTTCAAAATACTTATCATCATTGTAATTAGAATTTGAATACCGATGTGCTCTTAAATGGGGTGAAGTTGAGTTTTGTGCATTCCCCTGTTTTTCTTGCAATAATTATTGCCGCGAAGCCCCAATGTCGTCCCCATATTTATGTCCAAATTAACAAGCAGATTTGATTCGTAGCATAATGTGCTTTAAGAAAGGTCTCATCAGTGTAGAAACAGCTTCATGAATTTATTTAGTTACTTTCATTGCGTATTTTGCTATGGGATATTGCTACTGATTTTGAAATTCAATTTTTTAGATAACATAAATTGTAATGAGTTCCTTAGAGAAATATAAATGCCGTCAAAAACATAACTTGTAAAAAAACCAAGCCTCGCAACTCAGTTCTTCTACCGTAAAAAGTTGTGAGATCCATGTAATACCAAGTTGTTTAATTTATTCAGTCCCTACTTAAGGGTCCTTCTGTTTTAAGCTATTACGTAATTAGCTAACCTAACAACATCTAATAGTGACCATATCAATATTTAAAATCTTTTATGTTTTAGATATCGCAATCGCATTGAATAATCTAATTTAATATAATATGTATTACTTGAGAGATACATTGTGTTTTCATGCGATGGCCAAGTCAATCTATTTATTTAAAATATATTTTTGACGGCATTTCATTTCTTTTTGTAGATAGTTATATCTAGGTACCTATCTACACCTATTATTCCATTATATTATACATTGTATACTGGTACACTGTATTTACTGCAAATGTAACTTTGTAATCCTATATATTTATATGGGATTACAAAGTTATTTATGCAGTTAGTGTATCTAGAAAACGTGACCAATATTGCAAAATGTTTTAATTTTTCCTTGATTTAAACACTAAAGACTAATTGTATTCTAAATTTGAAGCTTCTATGTCTGCTAGAAGTGCATTTGAATTTTGATGATCGGTCAATCAGTGAGTGACAAAATTAAGAAACTTTGACTAGTTATAATTCTTAAACTACTGGTTCAAATTTAATGAAATTTGAAATATACCGTTTTTATATAATGCCTGCTGGTTACTGAAAATTCAGGCTTCTAGTTTTATCCACAACGAAGTTATAGGGGGTCGACAATGGCCTGAACTGCTTCGAGAAAAGCATGGCACGGCCGAGCCACTTTTTTACTCGAATTAGCGGGGGCACTGCCGTTCCCCCAGAAACAAATTAATGTATTAACATTAGCATTGTAATAAATTTATTAAAATGTAATGTATGTGCACAGAGATATATTAATTAGCTTTAATAAGAACAAAGATATTCATACATTAAATATTTGGAATTAACCAGCTTATGATGCCAGTTACTAGACTCTACAGAATTAGGATTTCATTCATAGGGCACTGTATATGCTTTTAAAACAAAATCCCAGAAAATGTTCGATGTTTAAAAATTAAATTTTTTAACATTATCTGTATGAAAAGGGTCATTATAATATCAGGAATTCATGAATTAAAATAACCCCTGGGATTTAGGTGACCGCTACCACACTGGTTATATTATTAATACATATAAATAATTGTACAAAATTATTTTAAAATTTTATATCCAAAAAATTGGTAATGCCGCTGGGTTTCTTGCTGGTTCTTTCGAGGTCAGGCCGGCTATTTTCGAAATCATTAGTAATAAATAAAAAATGACTCAAATGGTATTATGTGTAATAGTTTATATGGAATACAAATATTCTATTCTAAATGTACTTTATACATAAGACTACTATCGATAATCAAACAAGGAAGGCTACAGATGCGTTATCACCTCTGGAGACATCTCTGAGCAGGAGCAACCCCCAGTGCCCGCTCCTTCCGAATCGTCGACGACCGAGTTTTTTCCGATCAGCTTGACTCACTGGCATTGAGTAGAGATGTTGCATCTCTTTGCGTATTTTATCGCATCGCATCTATCACGGGGAGTGCTTTGAGGAATTGTTCGGACTAATTCCAGCCGCTCAATTTCACCATCCCACATTGCGACAAAACTCGCGATACCATCCATCTGGACGATTGGCGGTCTACCACTGTGCGATTTAGAAGAAGTTTTCTTCCTCGCACAACTTCCTTGTGGAATCGATTACCACAAGCGATTTTTCCGGACCAATACGACTTAGGGACCTTCAAGAAAATAGCCTACTCTTTTTTAAATGGCCAGCAACGCATCTACAATTCCCTTGGTGTTACAGTTGTTCATGGGCGACGTTAGCCACTTACCATCAGGTGAGCCGCATGCTCGTTTGCCTCCTCTCCTATAAAAAAAGAACCTTTTTACCCTTCAGACGATAACACAGCAGGGCACAAACTGTTCCTTCGTAGCAGAAATAGGAAAATGGTTGGTACCTACTGAGACGGACTTCTATAGACAAAAGGAGGCAAAACACCTAGACGAAATTTATAAAAACGAAACAATGGGATCATCTAACGGTAAACACTTTAGGCTCGATTCTGTGAAAACTGTTCCATGTTATTTTAGCTTAGGTTGGTAATGGAATATGCACCAAAAAATCGCAGAATTTTTTAGTCAAAGTATAAATAATATTTTTTTTTACATATTTTAATTTTACAACGTAATTTTAATACCAAAATTCATAACATGGGTTCTCATTTCATTCGACAGAAGTTGATATTTAAGTTTAGCAATCATGTGTACATTGTCATATTATAATATTAATATCTTATCATAAAGAAGGAAATAAAGACTGAAGTCTAAAGTCATCATAATATAATTTTCTTGCGTTGATATGCAAGAATATGGTCATACATCATAACCTTAAATATAAATAAAAAAAAAAAAAAACAATATGTAAAAAATCAGGTAAAAAATTGGAATATTTTTAACGTTAAAACATGATTTGACTAACATAGCATCGATGACCTAACGTGTACGCTGGTTAGATCCACCAACAGGTTTTTTGCTCTTTTTTTATTTGCTCTTTTTTCAACATACCACCTTTAAACCTTCTAATTACGGTATTCTTCCACGGAACTAGTAGCAAACTTCAATTACTCAACGTAGGTATTCCGTATAGAACAAAAAATAAGTTACTTATGTTGTTCTTTACTAACAAGCGAAGATTACCCTAATTTTAGTGTTTAACAAAACTCTTTTTTCTTTATTCAAAAGCTCATAAAAGTCCATTGTTGGACATGGGTTTCCCATAGTAGGGCATGATTACTATGGTCGCCATGTCAGGCCGGCGGGTTGGCGTCAAAAAAAAACTTCATTTATAAAATGGCCTTTATTTATAACATTATAATACTTCCATGAAACAAACATAGCTTTCGCATGACATTTACGTATATTTTTTTACAGCAATTGAAGTGATTTATATTACAATAGAACTAACTTACGCTAACTGAAATTAATTATTTCATATGTTTACCCTGATACTAAAGATATAGTTCTATACATCTTTGGCACAGATATGTTATACATAACCAAAAGTACACTGTACATCATACAATATATTCGAACAAATTTTACACTTATACATTATTATTTATTTCCTTATTAGGTAATTGAAACAAACTTGCGGATTTTATTCTGAAAATGTATACCTATATATAACAATAGTAGCAATGAGTATTGGGATATCCAAAACACGGAGCTGTTGCGCGTTACCTTGCATTGCAGCTGGTGTTTCTCCTGCAATTTTAATAATTATCAAACTTTACCTAATAACCATTTATCATTACAGCCTATAAAAAGCTTTTTCCCACCGTTGATTGCCTTTTTTGGGATTTTTTTTCTAATTATTATGTCAATATTTTTAATTATGCTGAGCTACACTTTGAATTTAAATAATTTTACGGCAAATAAACCTTTTAAATTATTTTTATTCATTCAAATCGGATAATATGGATTGTAAGGCTACGTGAATGGCTTTATGTTTCACGTTCTTTTTTGGAATTACAATAATATGTCCTTCAAATACAGCTTCTGACAATATCCAAAATCGTGTTGTTTGAAGGGCGCAAATATCGACAGCGAGATACTTGTCGTCACTAAACAGTTGTAAATTTAAACATTACTCTATTATAATTTAATTTAAAAACAATTTCTGAATCTAAGAAATATTACTAAATAATTTAATATTAAGGAAAACATATATGGACCTGACATATTGAACGGAAGCATCGTCATCATTGATAAATAATCCTAACCACTAATAATTGAAACTGCGTAAGAAATTTTAGCTCTATATCACCATTGCACCTATGGGAAATACCGTAAAAAATTCTAATCATCTTGTTTATGTCAGATGTTAAATAACCACAACAAGTGACGAGCAGGGAGTCAAAGTTACGAGATAGCTGGTACTGCGATGGTTAAGCCGTCTGCCAAGCATAACGGTTAAGGCTAATCTTTTTTAAATGTATCCAGGAGTATCCAGGTGCAGCTGTGAACTTTTAGATTAAGTAGGATAGTAATTTTAAAATGCCTTTGTTACTATTGTGGTATAATGTAATGAATCTTATTAGTAATCTACTAAGTTCGTCGATCGTAACATTCTTGTCTTCCAAGTGGGGTGTGCCAACTCCTACTACTTTTTAAAGTCACTAGATGTGTAAGCGTGTACGTGTACGCTGTACGTGTGCACGGGTACAGGTACGGTGACGTACGCGTGTACAGGCGTCAGGGCGGGCGCGTGTGCATCTGCGTGTGTGCAAGTGAGGGTGTGTGCGTGTGCGTGCGTGCGTGCATGTTTGTGTGTGTGTGTGTGTGTGTGTGTGTGTGTGCGTGTGTGTGCGTACGTACGTGTGTGTGTGTGTGTGTGTGTGTGTGTGTGTGTGTGTGTGTGTGTGTGTGTGTGTGTGTGTGTGTGTGTGACTTTTAATATTTACCTGTAAGTACATGTACCCGAGCGGTAGCTGATAATGCGTTATCGGGTACGCATTGATATGATCCTGCGTCTGAAGTACGTGCTGCTTGTATCAACAAACGGCTGCTACTATGAATTCCTTTTTCAGTGACTAATGAAATGCCACCTCTGGTCGAATCAAAGTTTATCGTCTGTGTAAATAATATAATATTAGACAATTTGTAAAATATTGCCCACAATTTAAAATTTAACTAAGCGAATTTAATTCTGTCTTAAAATAGATACCTGTTATTATTTTTTTTCTCTTCTTGTTGTTTAAATACAAAAAAAAAACTGAGCAAACACATCTAACATGACAATGAAAATAAAAAAAATAAATTTGAACTAAATATAGAATAATGCACACGTTAGAAAAATTGTTATAAAAATATTACCTTTCCTCTGTGTGTCCAATTAATGGTGTTGGGCGGTTCTGGCGTATGCCGGACAATACATGTTAGGTTTATAGTAGAGCCAGCATAAATGAATAAGTCTGGACCACCCAAAATCTCAGTTTCTGGCTCTGTAATAAATTATGAGTTGTTAAAATGTGAAGTGATACGTACTCAAATTTAAAATCTTGAATTTACAACTATCAATATTTATGGATCCCCAGTAGCAGTCTCGTACCGGTAAGCAAACTGCAGGATGCCCCTCACAAGATGGAGCGACAATCTGCTAAGACATGCAGGAAGTCTATAGATAGAGGTGCCGTGTTTTATGGCTCCCTTGCAGCAAACCTCGGGGAAGGAGTAGCACAGCAGTTGACTTGTGAAGTCATAGTGATAATCGTAATGATTTTGACAAATTACTTAAAATAACAACATACCATTATATTTATATAAGCTGCTGTGAGGAGCATTTTATTTAGTAGAGATGATATTCCGCAATCTTTATGGGTGGTATCAGCCTCATTGCTACTGTTCTATTTATAATAAATTGTTATGAAGTAGGTGGACGAAGTCATCCTTGTATGAAATCTTTGTGCTTTTGCAGACATTTCCTATATTCTACTCTTAGAATACTTACGAGATAAACTCAGATCAAGATTCGCTTTTAAGTCTACAACACGGCATTTCATTGCGCACCAAATTAATTATTCAAAGAACATCGGTCAAATGCGACCTGACCAAAATATGAAACGACCACCGTCCGTCACCACCATAAGTCAAAAATTAGTGACTTAGGTGTATATTCAATTAAGGGGTCCGGCTTATTTTATTGGAGCCGGTAAAATAATTTAGCTTTGAAATATTTTGAACGAATCTAAATCCGTCCCGTTTTTATCTGTGGTACCCGTTTCATCATAACACTAAAGTAATACTTCCATTATGCGTTTACTTTTTTTAAATACTAGATTTTATTGTAAACTTTTTATTTATTTTTGTATCAATAACATCATTTTTAGATGTCTTTTGTCTTATAAGCTCACTTCAAAGTCCTAAAAACTTAGCATGTGACCTATCAACATATAGTAAATTATTTTATAAAATAAGCCACTTCCAGTTATACTGTATAGGCTGAGATACCTTTGCCAGTAATAATGAAAAAACACAAAATGTCGAAGATGTCTTAGATACACACCTAACAGCAAAAAGATTAGAAAGGTTATTGATTCAAATTTGTGGTTTTAGCCATTGACTTATAGTACATATATATATATTACTAAGTATAGTAGTATAGTATAGTATTTTAGCTGAGGTTGTAGTCATGGTTGCAGACTTATAACATTATAACTTCCAAAGTGACGAAATACAAAAGTGTAACATGATATGATCCTCAGCTTTTATATAATATATTTTCAATTTAGGATTGAGATTGTACCTATGGGTACGGATTAATCCATACACTAGTCATGTTTGCGATATTTTATAGCCAGGTCCCAAGGCATGTTTGGGCCGTGACCGATGTTCTTTAATCAATTCTGTCTACTAGTATTATTTCAATTAGCCTAATCAGTATAACTATAATTTAATAACGCAGATATAGTCCTAACTTAATAATTATGTCTTAGGCTGCACTACTTACCAACAATATTAAGATAAACAGCATGTCCAATTGGTGGCGTCGTAGATATTTGGCACTCATATTGTCCTGAGTCACGGCGTTGTGGGCTGCGTATTCTGAGTGCCCATTCTTCTGAGCGGGGCTTATGTTGGGCTTCGAATCGTTGATCCGAGGTATATGTATATCGACCCACTGTCAGTAAATGTATATCTCGATGTCGCACCCATGATACCTAAAAAGTAATTTTAGTGTAAAAACACAAATGAGTACATGCCTCTTATTTAGAAAAGCCGATGTAAGCAGAAAAGACTACCGCACTACTCCAAGTAAGTTGGCGGATGGCTTCAGTTCACGACGTTTCTTCTTACATTGCAGGTTGCTTAGGAAAACAAAATTTATATTTAGTTCCTATGAAGCCTAATTTACGGTATAGTAGCTGTGTAATAATATCCACTACCCCATATTATGCCGTTGGTCATCGTCATCGTCGTAAGATGCGACAGAGGGAAATAAACCTGGACTTTAAAGGGAAAATTAAAAATGGAATATAACGGTTACGGTATATTGAAATGCCAATTAGTCAAACATAGAGTTCAAAAAACCAATCACATATAACATAGGTAGGTTTTCTACATCACCCTTGCGATTATGGCTTTTAAGGATGAAAATACACACTAATAATGCATATAAGTCAATTAATATGAAAACTTTGTTTTATGAAAATTTTGAAGGGAAGCTGGTTTGAAAGTGAATTCATCATAAAATTAACATAAAATTTATTTTTAAAGATAATAATCAAACATAATTGGAATCGGAAACCGAAACGTAATATCTCTGAAATTACTACAACATGAAATCGTATACAATTATCAAAATTCGAACACTGAAAGCTTCGTATAAGTATTCTCTATAGACCAAAGCCGTAAATTGTGTTTTAAAACTTTTACGAGGTTTCCACAATTCTACTCGAGTTACAGATATTTGATTTCGTATGTTCACACCAACGCATAAACTGTCATATATTTTTAGATGAAGTTTTTAGTAACGACAGTAATAAAGTATGTAAAACAGGACAGATTAATATAACTTTATCTTAATGTATTGTTAATTTGCAATATTTAATAATACTAGCTGGCCAGGCGGACGTTGTTCTGCCCATACTGACGACCCTTTATCCTATTAAAAATCCTTAAATTCGCAATAAAAAAATATTGAGGTCACTTATCGGGATAAAAACTATCCTATCTCTCAAGTTAGACCAAACTGCACAGAGTGTGCAAAATTTCATTGAAATCAGTTCAGTAGTTTAGGAGTTCATCGCGGACAAACAACGTGACACGTAATTTTTATATATGAGATTATGGTATTGGTAGATGTTTAACATCCTAAAATCTTAAAATAAAATTTTAAATGCTAATTTGATATGTCTATGTATTAACTGCGCATTATATATTACAGGGAGGGGGGACGGAGAGTCATAGTTTCCACCCTTGGGAAGCAGGTTGGCATCTACAGATTCATTATTAAGTTGTTTTCAGGAAGAAAGTGCTGCCCGTTCCAGTTTCCTTTTGTCGCCTTATACGCCCGCCACGGGACGATATGGATAAGTGGATTCTCTTAAGCCGCCTTTACACGATAATGAAACAATATACAACTTACACGTATATTAGAGTATTGTAGTAATAAAGTCATTATTACTGTCCATCAAATAAATCATTGTCATTATTACTGTCCATCACATATTAGTGTATCATGGACCTAAAACATGGTTTATGTCTTGGCCATATTTATCTACCCGTAAAGACCTAAATATTTTAAGATCATAGCAATCTATGGTCGTTGAGTATGCTGCTAATAACCTTCAGGAATTTTGTCATAATTACAATCAATCGTTTCAACCTATTAAAGCCCCTGCTGAACATAGACCTCCCTCATAGATTAGATATGAGAGATTTATCAATATTATTGGCAAATCGAAGGTGAGTAACGCATTTCCAGTGTAGGAGCGTGAAAACTAAAATAGCAGTGAAGATTTTCTCGTAAATAATGTCACCCGGTCCTCCTTATTTTACATATCTTTGCAGTTGGATTCCGGAGGTTCCGTACTCTGTTTCTGTAATCGGATAGCAATCGTAGTGTTCCTTTACAAACACTTTGATTAACTAACCGCCTAAATTTTCACTAAATTGAAATCTGAAAATCACTAACAGTGGTAGAGCCACGCGGCAGCTTTTGCTGTCGCACGGATGGGCTGGCTCGAACCGGGGTAGTACCACGACCTCACAGAAAACCAGCGTGAAGTAGAGGTTTACCTCTGCGTTTCGCTTGGTGAGTGCAGGTGGCCGGAGGCCCTTTTTACTGGAAATGAGGCATTCCATCTTAGTCCTCACGGGTGACAACGCATCTACATTTTGATTTGTAACGAGGATAGATGTAGATGTCTATGGGCCGCAGCAACCACTTACCATCAGGTTGACTGTGTGCTCGTTTGTTACCCTTATCCTATAAAAAAAATCTTTCTCTTAGACCTCATAGGCTAGATGCAACGGCTCTTTAGTCTTCTCTATAATCTGCGAAACGATATCTGTGTTGTCTATGATATTGTAGTGTAGCCCCCACGACAGTATATAATTAGTGTTAAGGTAGAATAAGTTGAAGCAGTATAATTAAAGTTCTAGTATCAAAAACACGTCCCCTTATTAACACATTTCCTACTTCAAATGGCGACCCTGCCAGGCGCCATGTGAAGTATGCACGCGCACCTTTGGGCATACATAAAGGGAATTTTTTCCCTTTTCAATATTTGGCTTCCGTACGTCAAAGTGACGTATGGTTATCTTTAGTGTCAGTTTTTCAACTTTTAAAAAAAGGTGATAATGCGATTTTTTGAGTGTAAAAGTACATATTTTTAATAGTTTTTTTTACTTGTTATAGGCCACGATAAAATACCATAACGACGTCACGAATTTGTGCAGACAATACAGAAATCAGTCGCTTGTTGAATGAAACGAGCGATGAAGAGATTCAGGAGTCCGATAGTGAAACTGAAGACAATTTATTAGAAGATGACGTACAAAGTGTTACTGAAGACTATGATGTGAGTGCTCAACCAGTGGTGAACTTATTGAACGCTGAAGATGTGTCAGAAAATGACTCTGAACCTTCTGAAAGTGCTTGGCCAAGTGTGCCAAGTTATATTATCATGCCACAGCGTCAAATTCTTACAGGCAAAAACGATCATCGTTGAATCTGCCGAGTTATATTATCATGCCACAGCGTCAAATTCTTACAGGCAAAAACGATCATCGTTGGATGGCCACTAAAGGCAGAACAAGTGGCAGAGTATCATCTGCTAATATTATACGTACATCTGGGGGTGCCACTCGGATGAATAAATGCCTTTATGAGCCTTTAGAATGTTTCAGTACATTTATTACTGATGCCATTGTGGAGGAGATAACAAAATGGTCCAACGCTGAAATCCAGCTGAAGATTCAAAGGCCTGATGTTAAAGCCACCTTTAAAACTACAACTTATGAAGAAATTCGGGCTCTTTTCGGCATACTGACACTAACAACTGCTATGAAGGACAATAATTTGACTATGGATGAGCTATTTGATTTTTCGTATTCAGGAAACAGATATGTTGCTGCCATGAGTAGAGATATATTCGATTTTATGATAAGGTGTTTGAGAATGGACGACAAATTTTTGCGGCCAGAACTAAGAGCTACTGATACATTTGTAACAATTAGAAAAATATGGGAGATCTTCATCAACCACTGCCGATCCAATTACATCCCCGGACCTTATGTAACCATCGACGAACAGCTTTTGGGTTTCCGGGGTCGATGGCCTTTTCGGATTTACATACCTAACAAACCTAATAAATACGGACTAAAAATTATAATAACCTGTGATAGTGCCACACGATAGATGATTGATGCTATGCCATATCTAGGAAAATGCACTCAAACCAATGGTTTGCCTCTCGGTGAATTTTACGTAAAAGAACTTACAAAAGCAGTTCATGGCAGTAATAGAAATGTCACGTGTGATAATTGGTTCACATCAGTTCCATTAGCAAAAAACTTGCTAAGGCAGCCACAAAACTTGACCTTGGTTGGCACTATTAGGTCGAATAGACGAGAAATACCTGAAGAGCTGAAAAGAATGCATTTCAGGCGAGTAGGAACATCCATGTTCTGTTATGATGGGCCGTTGACGTTAGTGTCGTACAAACCAAAACCGAGCAAGTTGGTGTTTGTTCTATCATCGTGTGATGAAGAGGGCACTGTTCATTCTACCACCGGCAAACTAAATATGATTAATTTTTATAATGAAATAAAAGGGGGAGTCGACACTTTTGACCAAATGTGCTCGTGCAGCCGCAAAACAAACAGGTGGGCCATGGCTATGTTCTATGGTATGTTGAATATGGCATTTATAAACGCATATATTATTTACTATGATAATGTCCTATCCAAGAAAGAAAAACCGCTGGGACGTAGAGATTTCATGAAAAAACTCAGCAATAGCTTGATGACCCCGTGGATGGAGATAAGGCAGCAAATGCTTACTTTGCCGACGAATATAAAAGAAAAAATTGGTGGTATATTGCCAAAATGACCAGCCGAACCTCCCACACCACGTGAAAGTATACCTGAGCCAAAGAAAAGAAAATATTGTGCCTTTTGTCCATCTAAAGTTAGAAGGATGACAAAGACAATGTGCGACAGTTGCAAAAATCCCATCTGTGGAGAGCACAAGTCCAGCGCCTGTCCTAAGTGCCTTTGGAGCGAAATTAGATAAAAAGTGATATTTGAAATCGTAATTGTATTGTGAATTCGTATTGGTCATTTTCTTGATCATGTATGTACGCGAGCCATGTACGTGAAAGAAATTACATAAATGTATAATGAATTGATAATATGCTTTGGAATAAAAATAAAAGTAAATAGTGGTTAGCGAAATGTAAAATTAAAAAAAAGGAAGTTGAAAACATAAAGAATGAAATAGAAATTATAATGAGAAAGAAATATATAAGGGCAAAGTACTATGTATTATAAATGTCTGGATTAGATAACATATTTTGGTGAATACGAATTAATTATATTGTAAATGTTCGCGAAAGTCAAAATATAATATTATTTTATACGTAATTTTGCATGATTACGTCGTATACTTCTGAGAATACACCATTTTTACTTGCTAGAGGGTGTGACCAAACGCCCTGCTAAATTTCGATGTTAATTAGATTACAGTTTTTATAACACTTAGACTTGTTTTCCACTAAGTTTTCATTATGATTATTCATTAATTACGTTTAGAATAGTTTTAAGGTTTGACAAAATTAACATAAAACATAAACATAAACACTCACGCCTGTCACCCAGAGGGGTAGGCAGAGACTACGGACTTCCATTTGGCGCGATCCTGACACACCTCTCTCGCCTCTTTCACATCCATATATCTACGCATACACGCTCGTCGGTTAAGTTAGATAACTTTTTTGTCGGTGAAAGGTGTAGTGTAGCCCCTACGACAATATATAATTAGTTTTCAGGTAGAATACGTTGAAGCAGTATGTAGTACTAACGTGTTGTTAGTACTCAACAAAGTTGTAGTACTAACAACACGTCTCCTTCATTAACATATTTCCTACTTCACAGTATGAGTATTTCAGCCTTTTCGGAAACGGATTCGTTTGGGAGATTAGAAATCGTTGCGATCGCATACAAGGTGATTTGTAATCGCTCAAAAATTACAAGAAGGCGTAACCTTGAACGGAAATGACTCACCTTTCTTAAAGGACAAAACTATCGCACTTCTGCTCCTTGTCTCCTTTTGTCACATATACATAAAAAATTATTTACTAAACATCCACAATACCTTATTATATTTAAAAAAAAATCAGGTAAAAGTCTATTTTTATAAGTTTCTTATAATATAAACAAACTTATATTAGGGATAAATACGCTATATTTTGAAAATGGTTTCTCAGATACGCTTTAAGTTTTAATGCGTAAAGCCAAAGGTTGAACAAGAAGAGTCGTTATATTCCACCGTGACTTTATCGTCGTTGTAAGGAATTTAGCTATAAACATATCCTGTAAGGTCTTTTAACATTTGTGTTTTCTTGTAAGAACTTAAATTTTAAAAGAAAAGTACTTTTTATAATAACATACGACGAGATTATTATTTTAATTGTATATAATATAAGATAATGAAATGGCTGAATTTTAAGACATAAATTTTTAACAACTTCGCCATATCACACTTTGAACATTTAATGTCATATAAAAAGTACATACAGAATCGTTTGCAACACAATGATCACACATTGGTTTACGACAGTAATCGCTGATGTTTGTTGTGCTTGAGGATATAGTACATGAAACTTTTGGCAAGAAAATGTATCACCCCATTTCGTTCCATAGGTGTCGTAAGTGGTAACAATCAATGCGATTTGCTTCGTCGTTCATAATGCATACAGCAAAGAAGTGGAATAATAATCTGAAAGTATCATCCTTTCCATCCCATTATAAGATGGCAAGGCAAGAGTGAGTAGGCTTTGTAAAAAGATGTTATTGCGCACTGACTTTTTAACAGTGGTAGAGCCACGCGGCAGCTTTTGCTGTTGCACGGATGGGCCGGCTCGAACCGGGGTGGTACCACGACCTCACAGAATACCAGCGTGAAGTAGAGGTTAACCTCTGCGTTTCGCTTCGTGAGTGCAGGTGGCTGGAGGCCCTTTTTACTGGAAATGAGGCAATCTATCTTAGTCCTCACGGGTGACAACGCATCTGCATTTTTATTCGCAAACGAGGATAGATGTAGATGTTTATGGGCCGCAGCAACCACTTACCATCAGGTGGACTGTGTGCTCGTTTGTCACCCTTATCTTATAAAAAATAACTGACTTACAGTGCGCTATAACATCTTCGGCTACATTACCACTGACCTTTTAAAAATGACTATCAGTAGGAATTACACATGTGATCTATATTAAATAAAAATTATTCTATTCTATTCTATTCTATACCATCAGATGGGAAATTAGTCAAGCACTGACGTATAGAAGTAAAAAATACGTTAAAGAGATCTTATCACTTGGACCCGTAATATAATACAACTACTATTCTATGGTAATATACGTCAAAACTGGCGGAAACTCTGACAGTGCGATCGTCAATTCAAGTGCCCAAAATAGGAGCAACACATTTGCTAGCAGTAGACTTTTATAGGTTGATAACATACAATTATTATCATATGCTACTACGAAATTTATGTATTTTAAATCTTCATTAGTCCATATTCAGTTCACGGCAGGACATACACCTCTCCCATAATAGACATAATTTTGTGTAATCGCCTCAACTAATCTCGGTAGTTTAAATCCTATTCACTTACCATAATATACAAAGATTGAGGATAAAACCATTAAGTACTGAAGGTTAACAGTATTCATACTTACAGTGCGATTTTGTAGATTTTTTACTTTACACAGCAGAGTTACTGGATAACCCACTAATCCCGTTACATTATCTGGAGTACTTGGATCGAAGTATGGTGAGCCCGGTGTTTGTGGCCAGTCTTCTAAGAACTCCGCACGAAATCTTCTAGAAGATTCTGATACCGAGTTCTGATCACGAGGACGGCTGTTGCTGCTGTCTTGATAGCATACTGGGGGTTTAGTTGGACAAAATGTAATATAGGGTGTAAAAAAACAGTTTCCTGTAAAAATTTGTATTGGAAATCTTTCTTAAATCGTTTGATTGTGAAGTTAAAGCCTAAGTACGCTCACATAAACTCGGTCTACCCCCATTTCAATAGAGTTATAAAGTAATTAATTAAGATATATTCCCAAAGGCGACAACGGATTGACTAAACATTTTTTTTATAGGAGAGGGGGCATAAGAGCATGCGGCTCACCTGATGGTAAGTGACTACTGCCGCCCATGAACAATTAAAACACCAGGGGAACCAGCGGAATTTCAGATGAGTTGCCGGCCTTTAAAACATCTTTAGGATGGCTGGATGATTTGAGGTTTGAGATATCTTTATTTCTCATAAGAATTTACAACAATTCACTTACATGAGAAAGTTTAAATACTTGCAAACAAATAATAATCTTATCCTAGGCGTACACTAATATATCGAAATCATTTCACTCAAACACGTTCAAATCGTAAGTATACATTTTAAATAATTTTAATTTCTAAGTATAAACAAAATACAATGTAGATTAACAGGGTACTTGTAAAAAAACTAACATAAACAAGGAGCAAACAATGCTTGGACGCGCACCTTACACAGATCGAGCGTAGCTAGAAGTGACGTGTGAAATAGTGAAACTAAGGTGCGCTCCGATTAGATGTTAAATAATATTTTAAGTGCTTTCTAAAAGTTGGCATTGATTTTGCTTCTTTAATATTTTTCGGTAATTGGTTATACAATTTTGCACCTTCGTACATTAAATTTTTTTTACCATAATTAGTTCTTGGGGTTAAGAGGCAAAGGTCGTTTACACGTCTTAGTCTAATTTTTTGTATTTGTTGTTTCTTTGTGAATGTTATTTGAGTATGTATGTCTTTATTTAATATTTTTCTTATTAATATACAAGTTTTATATATATATGTTTGAGTTATATTTAATAATTTTGTTTCTTTATATAGTAGATTTGTTGGTGTGAGGAAATCATATTTAAACAAGGTTTTAATTAATTTATTTTGTGACCTTTGTAGTGGTTCTAGATTTGTTTTTGCAGCAGTGCCCCAAATTTCAGTCAAGTATTCTAAATGCGGTTTTATGAGAGAGTTATATATATTATATCGAATTCGGTGCGGTAAACATGTAATCATACCCCGTAGGGCTCCAGAAAGAGAAGTTAATTTTGTTTTAATTTAAGAAATATGTGGTTTCCATGTTAAATGCGAGTCTAAGATCAGTCCAAGATATTTCTGTTCATCAACTTTATTTATAATTTGATTATTTATTTTCAATGGTGTATAATGTGATATTTTTTTGTTTTTTGCTGTAAATAACATATAGTTTGTTTTTGATATATTTATAGTTAGCCGATTGCATTGAAACCAGATATTTAGAAGATCTAAGTCATTTTGTGCGTCTTTAATAACAGAGTCTATAGAATGGCCAAAGTAGAATAGAGTGGTATCATCGGCGTATAACGTTATGTCTCCCTTAAGCCCGAGATCTTTTATATTATTTATATATATAAGAAACAAGAGGGGCCCCAGAATCGAACCCTGAGGTATACCACAAGGCACAACCCTGGGTCCACTCTGTGTTTCACCGATCTTAACCACTTGCCGACGATTAGTGAGGTAAGATCTGAGTATCTCATTAGCGGTTCCCGTAATGCCAATGTCAGATAGTTTCTTTAATAATATGTCGTGACTAATTGTATCAAAGGCCTTCTTTAAATCTATGAAGACTCCTAGTGCTATTTGTTTTTTATCAATGTTGAGTTTCACTTTAGTTATAACGTCTATTGTAGCTGACAGTGTGTTAGATTTCGGTTTGAAGCCATACTGCTGCTTGTTAAAGAAGTTCTGTGCAGATAGGTAGGCTTCAAGACGTTTATATAATAGTTTTTCATAAATTTTTGACATTACGGGAAGAACAGATATTGGGCGGTAATTGCCAGGTTCCGACTTAGTCCCAGATTTAAATATAGGTGTCACTTTAGCCATCTTTAGACTATCGGGGAAAGTGCCATTTTCCAGATTATTATTTATGCAATTTGTAAGTTCAGGAAGGATGAGGTGTTTCACGCATTTTATTGATTTGCTATTAACCCCATCTAATCCGGAACTAGTATTTGTGCTTAAGCTATCTATTAACTTGGCAATTTCTTCCGTTGTACATGGTTGTAACTGTGTTAGTGCGATTGTGTCAGCAGTATTTGCTCCAATTGTATACGTTAAATTATTATGAAAATTTGTTGGTATTTGACTATTTAAGATCAGGCCCACATTAGAAAAAAAGTCATTGAATTGTTCACAGATAGTATTTTGATCCGTTATGTAACCATTGGGTGTTAAAAGTTTACTCGGGAATGATGGGTCTCTTATTTTGTATGTTATAAAGGTTATTTATTAGTTTCCACATCTTTTTAGGGTTGCTCTTGCAGTCATTGAAAGCTTTTGAATAATATTTAGTTTTAGTTTTATGAATGGTTCTTGATACTTCGTTTCTTGCTTTGGTGAATGCTTCTTCTAGTAATCTGTCTTCTCGATTCTTCTTAAATTTGTTACATATTTTATTTCGAATGTTTATGCTATCTATAATTTTCCTGTTGATCCAGTCTTGGCGGGGTGGGTTAAGAATTTTAGTCTTTGTGAGTCTACTATTGCTGACGCAAGAATTCAGCTTCTCTTCAAGTAGTTCATATGATTTATTACCAGTATTTGTGCAGTTTCCCATAGTTTTATATAGTTGTTCGTAATTGATAGCTTCATATCTAACTCTTCGCAGTGGTTCAGGCCGGTATTTCTGTATTTCGAAGTATATTTGCTTGTGGTCAGACATTGGGGTTTCAATTATGATGAAATTGAATCTGTGTTTTTTAAGGTTGGAGCAAACATGATCTATTATTGATTTCGTTGAAATTGTTTCACGTGTACAGAATGTTTCGTCTATTTTATTTATTATATCGTAACCATTCTCCTCTAACACATCTTTGTAGTTATTAGTTGCCTGTTGCTGACTCAGTAAATTAATGTTGAAGTCTCCAATTACAACAGCTCTGTTTCTTTTATGCAATTGCATGGAATAAAAGTCCAAGAAGTTTTTTTTAAATTTGAAGCGTCTGGTTTCCGATATACTGCACCGATATCAAGACAATAGTGGTCAAGATGAATCCAAAGGTAGTGATTATCACCTTGAGACTGATTTTCTGTGACGTGGTGTTTTAGGCTATTGCAAATGAATATTGATACTCCTCCGCCTCTCATGTTACGCCTGTAGTTAGAATAGTGAAAATAGCCGGGAATCTGAAGACTTATAGCTTCTTCGTCTGACTTAATCCATGTCTCTGAGAGGATAATTATATGAACCCTATTCTGAAACAATTCAACTACGCATTTTAATTCATCCAATTTCCCTGGTTTCACTATACTTCTTACGTTGGCATATAGAAATCGTAGAGAATTTTTGGTCGAAGAAATATCTTCGTAGCTATCTACAATTTTATAAGTAATTGGGTCTGTGTTGCACGAATAAGTTTGGAGGTGAGTAGTGTCGTTGTATTTTAGTTTTTTGACGAGCGTTCTACGATCTTTGGCACACCTCTAACATATTTTATAATTAAGTTTTTATTATTATTATTCGATTGGCGCTTTAATTCTTCTTTAAGATCTTTATAGTATTTTTGCTGTAGAGGGGTCTGATCTGCGTATATTTTGAAATTGCCTAAATTCTCATTTCTTCTATTGCGTAGCAAAGTTACAGCTGTCTCTGAAGACGAAAAACATACTTTTATGAGACGATTTTTGCCGGGGCTATATTTCCCAAGACGGTATACTACTTTGGGCTGGAAGCTCTCATCTATTGTCTTTACTATTTTAGTCACTTGTTTAATGTCGATGTCTTTCCTTTCGTCTTTATTGTTCGATTCGGGTTCCGGTAGTCCATCTATGATTATGTTTTTGCTTCTAATGTTTCGTTCTGTAATTTCAGATATGATAGACACGTAAGAAGCATCTGCAAGCTGAGTTACTTGATTGGCTGACGTATTTTTAAGCAGTTTTACTTCAGACTGCAAGCCTTCAATGTTCTTATTTGTAATATTGTTATTGGACTTTATATTTAAAATATCAGATTTTATTGTATTTTGTTCCATTGTAAGATTCTGAATATTAGTTTTTATATCAGCCATCTGTTCTTTAATAGCTGAAACATCATCATTCATTTTATTGTTAAATTCTTGCTGACGAATGCTCAAATTTGTGAGCATCGCCATCATTTGTGACATTTGTTTACGAATCTCGCTTATTTCTTCCTTGATATCTTCGCTATCATCAAAACGCTTTCTCTTGTTGCGCATGGTAACCTTTGATTTATCTGTAGACTCAGGTGTTGTGGACAAATTTGGTTCCGACCCACTTAGGCCACTTCCAGTAGGCGAGCGTAGTACGTTCATCATAGATCTGTGACCCAGCGTCTATCACGCTAAGCGTAGTGATCGCTACGGAGTGATAAGGTAAAAGATATATATATAATTCGTCTCTTTTCCCCGAGGGGGTGAAGAGCGGTTACCTTGCCTATGCGCCGAGCCAAGAAGTTAATCTCCACACTGTATCGCGCAACCGGTGCACTGGTGACTTAATTAACTTTATAACTTAACTTTAAGTAATAAGGTATTAGTTTGGGTCGTTGAGCGTAATTGAATTTATTTAGAAACTGTACAACACGTCTGCTCTGAACGCCTGATATAGGACGACGACGATTTAGTATCAGTAGCGTTGCAGATCACTTATGTGAATAGGATAGGGTCAGTCTACCTGCATGATGTTGGTGGGTTTTGGTAGATGCAGCCATTAAAATACGTGTTGTGGTTTAGTAAACTAAACATTTATTAGAATGGCTGGTTCCAGTATGATGTATAAGTATTACTAAACCATGACACTCACTTAAGATTTGGTCTGATACACCAGGCTTGA